CCATGCGAGGGTATGATTGAAATGGATACACTTGGCAGCTGGAGTGACCCCTGCATTGGTTCCTTGGCCTGCGAGGTTAAGAAGTATCACGATGGGGAAGGGCAAGTGGAAATGTGAGACCGTGCCCTCAAGATGAGTCAAAAGCATTATTGATCTGGGGGAGCCGGGAGGGTTAGAGATTACTGCCACCATCGCAACCTAAGGAATGCAGGGACAGTGGTCGCTGTCACACCTCAGTTTGACTCACTAGTCCAGCTGAAGAAAGTAGGTGGTCCTAGAGAGCGTAGACCTCTTCGGCATAGCCAACTTGGAGTCCTGGTTACAGCTGCGAGGCGTGACATGGAGGAGTTGCTGGAACGGATTAATGAGACCCCAGGGATGGCGTGAAGCCATTGATTGCACAAATGCATTCTTTTCTTCTATACGGATTGGGAAAGAGAATCATAACGGAGCTGGAAGAGGTCTGGGCCAGTCTCCATGTATTGCCTAGCCTCCCAACCCCCTCTAAGTGGGTCTTTGAGTTGCAGGGTCCACGCAGACCTTGTGTCTGGAAGTCCTCCAGATAACTGCTTAGCCTCCTGTCCCCAAGGTTCAGTCACCCAGGCAAGTGGCTGTAGGTACTTGTGGGGAAGAACTGGGGAAATCAAGGCAGTGGACGCTTGGCCCCAGCTGCAGGGTCCTCCTTCCTAGGACACCTCTTCAGTCAGTGGGCTCTGATCTGAGAACTGACCAGGCCTGGTGGTGCTTTATGGGGTGACGCCTTCGGCCTCCTGCTCTCTGCTTTGTGCACTCTTGTTTGTCGTCCCAGGGACACCGCGCTCTGTTAGCCATCCCCACAGTCTGTGGGTCAAGCCCCAAGTTCAGGTGTCCTTTGTATTTTAACGTGTGTTTCTTATTTTCCTTGTTTGGGGTGGTTTTCAAGATTTTAAAGGACAGAACTGTCTTGACTCTGCTGCCTTGAAGCTCTAAGTCCAGTTGGTTTTGGGAAGCTGCCACTGGTTTTGTGTGGAGGCAAATGAGAGGGCAGCACGGAAGTGGAGAGCCCCCTGCTGGTAGGCATCCAGAGGCTGGCCACCTCTCCCGAAACCTGCCAGGACCATTGCCCACACCTGACAGCCTGATTTGCATTTTATTATCATTGTGTTCCAGCAGGTAGCAGTAAAGTATGTTCCAACCAAATCAGTAGAAGCCAAGAATTCTCTGACACGTGGAAGTGGCTGGAGATGGGGCATGTTTTCTCTTTCTTTTTTTCAAATTTAAATTCAGGTTGGTTAACATACAGTGTGGTCTTTGCTTCAGGAGCAGAACCCGGTGATTCCTCTCTTACATACGACACCCAGTGCTCATCCCGAAAAGTGCCCTCCTCCATGACCATCACATG